CTTGAACCTGTTACTTCCCAAAAGTGCACTAGAAGTGTTCCAGCCCACACTGTCCAGCGTGTAAGTCTTCTTCTTGCCCACATAATTGACCTAAAGGAATGGTGCAGCAGGTAGAGAAAGATAGATCGCTATGGTCATGCCGTGTACCTTCATGTGCAGACACTGCAGCACCATGCACTCGCCGCTGAGCACAAAGTAAACGACGCTGAGCGAGCCCAGGTCCTCCTCGTAGATCGTGTCCAGCGGATCAAACTGCTGAATGCTGGCAAACTTGCAGGCGGTGACAACCTGTGGGGCAAATGGAATGCAATAGAAATCAACTCAACTCTCGTTGAGCCTGATGACACCTGCCTGCTCTGGGCTGAAGAATTGAAAGTATTCCAGGGCGCTTATGGCTTCCTTTTTCTCCTCCCACATCTTCTTCATGTAGGGCTGCAGTTGGGTTGAGTAGTCGCTGTCGTAGATGGCCAAAAGTTCGCAGTTTGCTGGTGGGGAAGTTGCACAATGAATACACAGATTGGGGATTGATTACTCTCCTTCCGGTCCAGTCCTCACTTGCTGCTATGTATGTATGCGTCCTGTCCGCCTCCTCCATCACATCGATGTCGCCAATGCAGTCACCGGGTCCAAAAATAGCCTCCGCCATGGTTTCGTATGTTTGGGTAGCCTGTGCGAATGGATAGCGAATGGAAAGGATTATTCTCTCAATTAGGTTGCTCCTGCGCTGACTGTACCTTGTCGTAGATCCTCTTGGCCATTTCCACTTCGCCGGTGAGTATGAAGTACATGGTAATGGGATAGTCGCCCTGCTTCATGATGAGACGTCCGGGAGTGAGTGATAAAAATATCAGATGCGGCAGCAAACGAACGCGCAGTTTCTGCAAGCAAAATGGAGATCAGAACAGGAGGAGCAGGAGGCGAAGGACTCACCGGATTGAGTTTGGAAAAGCAGGCAAGATCTGCCACAATCGTGCAAAGTTTCATGCGCTCCTTTACGGTGCGCATCTGGTGTGGCATGCGAAACAATGCTTTCTCCTAAGAATCAAAATGGAAAGTCACTATCCCCTGTGACAAGGGACTACTGTGTATGGACTACTCACCGCCGTGGTCATCATGCCAACTTTGCGCTTCTGTCGCACCAGCATGGCCACATTTCTCTTAACATTCATAGAGAAATGGGTCGGTGCATCTTTGGCATCTCTGAGCCACTGCATATTGAGGATGACATTGCGGATGAGCTGCTTGAAGCGCAACTTGGCAACCTTCTGGGTCGAAACATCGCCACTTTCGGGCTGGCTCATTTTGTTGATAAACCAATTGTTTGTTGTTTGTTTGTTCACCAATTGGACTCTAACCAATTATATTTGGCTGTATTTGTTCCTGTTTTTGGTTATGTTATACTATATATTGGCTTTGTATTCGTTTCATCTACTTATGTGTAACAGATTTCAGTTTGAATCCATCTATTTTTTCTTGTTCTCACACTCTGATGGATTTCCGAACGAATATATGATTTGCCTTGGACATTCCACACTTGTTCACAAATGGTAGGGAACTGTCGTCGCAGTGGAATTCCCTGACGAGTAATGCCTCAATTGTCACCTAGTCAGCTGACTAGTTTACAATATATTTTTGGTTTTATTTCAGCATAAACAGGCATGGAAAACATTTCATTTCTCAATTCTCGCTCAACGGGGCACAGGGGAACAAATCTCAATAATTTCCCTGCTTCTGCACACGACTCTGCGGTACTTTGGGACAAACGAGCTGGGGAAGTGTGGTGAGTAGCGGGCATTGAGTGGAAGCACGCTTGAAATGAGTGAGAGTGCGAGTGAGTCCGGTTGCGGATGCGAGTGAGTGTGCAGACGGAGTGAGTGTGTTCATTTGGATGCTTGGCGATGACTGTGTAATTTTTGCGAACGGTATTACTGTTTTCAAGGATAAGCGATGTCCACGTGCTGGCTGGGGAGCACGGACGAATAAAACGCACAATCGCAGTTTCTCGTCTTCGTCAATCGTTGTAGTCAATCGTCATAGGATAGGCACTTCGTCCTCTCTCGTCGCGGTTGGTTCTCGTGGTCGTCGCTGTCACACTTGGAGCGGCAAGCAGTCAGGAGGCAGAAGTCAGGAGGCAGGAGGCAAAAGGCAGAAGGCAGGAGGCTGTGTGGCAAATTCGATTCAGAAATCAGAGTCATGGCTGCCCACATGGCCCCCATGCTAGGTGCGCTGACGCTTCAGTGATTCACTCACTGGGGTATTCTTGCCTTAACTGCAGAAATCATCAAAATGAATCAACAAATGATGACACCGACACGACACCCGTTGACGCTGCTGCCTGCTGCTGCCTGAGAACTAAGCACAAGCCACGGTGCAAAATTATTTGAATATTTTTTTATGTTTGTTTGTGCGGTGTGTGGTGAAGACTTAATGAGAAGCCAAAGTGCAAGTGCTGTGACTACGAGCGATCCCAGGAGCAGGGAATAAACCAAAGTACGCGTTTTTCGAATCGCATTAGCCCCGGAGGCCCTGCCCCCGGCACCCCCCCTCCCCCTGCCCTCATCCATCCATCATCCATTCCCGATGCGCGGAATATAAACGTACGACGAGTGTCTAAGTACTTGTAAAAGTTGCCTTCGCACGGGGTAAGTGAGTGTGTAGAGAGAGGAGTGTGTGATGAGCGGATGTCGCTCGTACTCGTAATGTTTGTCATAAATTCAAGACCCCTTTGGGTCTGCCCTTTGTGCATGCCATCGCCCTGGGAGCTACTCTTAGAACTCTAGTTGCCTTTTCTAGCAGGAAGTGCCAATGATTAATTTGTTTGTCGTTACGGCGTTTGCAAACTTTTTTAAAATAGAAAAAGTAAAAAGAGAAGAGGAAAGAAAAAAAACAAAATCAAAATCAATCCGATACGAGCAGCCAGTGATCTGATTTGTATCCATCGCCAGCCGCCAGTCCCCAAATGATTTGCACAAATGTTTTGGGATTAGGGGGAAAGTTTTTCCATTTTGCCATTTTGCCATTTTGCATTTTCTGCTTAGCATATAGAAGGCATTGAGAAAGTTCTATTTTGACCACACACACAAACGATACGAAACGAAAGGAAAGGAAAGCAAAGGAAAGGTGTCACAGACACCTGAGGATATTTGGAATGGTTTTCGCACTTAATAAATTCAGCATTTGCTGAGACCAGTGCGAGTATGTGGCATGCTCTGTGTGCTGTGTGCTCTGTGTGGCATGAAAAGGAACGCAAATGTAAAACAAATGCATATGGAATGAGCCCAAAAGCTGCACCGCCCCAAGGCAGATTGGCTCAATGCCTTTTTGTTGCTGCACCTTGAACAGATTTTTGTTGATTAAGTTAGACAAATTAGCCAAAAGCCCAGCAGCCAGTTCGCTTTCTGCACTATGCTGCACAGCTGCACCTCATCTCACCTCACCCCCACAGCTATTTGATCTATGAATGCAAATTGCTTCATTCAATTTGAAATAATTGCTCGCTGAGTCCAAGCAGATGGTAAACCTTTTTCCAACTGTTCCAAATATCCCGTTACAGTTCTTCTAAAATGTTCGTTGCCATGCAAAGAGTGAGCTCTAAGTTCATCATAAAATGCATAGTTCTGTGCAATAAAATGGGTCAATGGGAAGTGTTCAAGGAAATCATGAAATATTGAATGATGTTTTTATGCCACGAGGATGGAAACATGCAACTGATTCGATACTCGTACAATTTACCAACGCCCTTAAAAAAATGTACTACAATAAATTCAATTTGTCAATCAATCTTTATTTGGGGAAATTGCAAAGGCAGACAAAAATAACGAAACAAAAAACATGAAAAACAAATGTTAAGTTTTATAATGAAGAAAATGCAATACATCATGCAATATTGCGACAGACAATTAAAAATAACACAGAAAGTAATATTTGTGCTCATAAATGAGTGCTAAAACAATATACAAGTGATCAAATCGATAATGATTTGCATCTTATTTGGTATAATCTGAATCTGTTAGGTTTGACCCTCCCCCTCCTGTAAAGCATTTAAATTTGTAGAATTCTATCACGCTGCTTTGCCGCAAGACGATGAAGCCTGAATAGCATCCACAATTCAAGAGAGAGACCACAGGTGTGCCAGATAATTGGAAATGTGTATTTATCAAATTGCAAAAAAACAAACAAAAAGTACGGAAAAAAATAAGGAAAAAGTAAAATAATCATTATTTGCATTTTAATATTAATTAATATACAATTTGCATACATGTGCAAAGAAGGTTTCGGATGATATCGAATAGCAAACCGGCAAAAAAATAAAACCAATTTCACCGCATTTTGAAGTTAATGGACTGCATGGTATCTGCATGCATGGACACGGCCGAAGCCTCACAAATAAAATGCAAACGAATCCCCCGCTAGATAGATAGATAATGCGTCAGCCATCGGCGCCAACCCTTTCGTACATATGTACATGAAATATCCATCAATATAAAAATGACCTGAGGGGTATTGATGGACGTACATACTCGTATGTGCATAAATACATACGAGTATGTGGGTGGAGCCTTTCTTTTGCCGTGGTTTTGCCATCAGTGGGTGAGCCTGGGCATAATTGAATCAATCCCGAGAGTAACATGCCGCAAAAAGGGAGCTATCGATGGATGCCTTAAGAATGGACAGAGACCTCTTATGGCTTCTGCCATGCAGGAGTCTGCCTGGAGTACCCCCATCCTGAAGTTTAAAGTTCTCTTCCAGAGAGTTGATTGCACACACATACTAGAAGCAGATATGTATACATATATATGTATGTACATACAGTGAGTCAAAAATGTACTCGAGCTGTCCTGTTCCTGTGGCTCCTTCGCAAATAAATGGAACATTATTACACCCGAGGACACATCCTGCTTTATGGAAAGTACACTTAGGCATCTCCCGGGGGCAGTACAGCAGCCCAGCAGCCCAAGAATTTATTAAAAACGTTTCACACTTGTGGCCCCAAAAACTTTCTTCGGCCCAGCCTTTGAATTTCCACTTTCCACTTTCCTTATCCACCAATAAATGAAAAAATGTGCCTTTTCTTTGCTGTTGTTGTTGAATTACTTGCTTTAATGTTACCCCAGCAGGACAAAGGCGACAATTGACAATTACTGTTGGTGGATCTCCTGCTGCTGCTGCTGCTGCTGCTAAAATTATCCATAAAACTTTTAATATATGTAGCCTTGTGCCAATACTTTTCGCAAGCCACTGGGTGTGCCTGGGTGTGTTGTATGGATGTACGTGCCTGCCCGCTCACTCGATTGAATTGAGGAACGTCGCGCAGATATTCAAATCTGACAAATTAACATATTGCCGGGTGGCAGCGAGTTTAGAAATACTTGCGAATGCGAATGCGAATACGAATACGAATGCGAATACACTCGTAAGTGAGTAAGTCAACAGAAAATGCTCGGTAATTGCGAAATGTCAGAGCGGCGGCTAACGCCCAGCGCCCAAGCCCAGAGCCAAGAGCCGAGAGCCTGTGGCCCCTGAAGAACTTTCTAATCTGAATTTAAGGCGCATGAAGTAGGAACAGCAAGAAAAAACGGCATGGAATGGAGAGCAGAGAAGGGGAAGGAGGAATTTTGGGGTGTAATGAACACAGCGGGATAGCAAAATATGTACAAGAGTTAATGCTCGGGAAAACAAAACATAACCCAAAGCACGTTTCGCACTTAGGCAGGACGCCCCAGAAGGTGCTGCCAGCCTCTTCCTCTCTCTCTCTCTCTCTCTCTCTCTCCCTCTATGTTTCGGGATACAGATGGTATACGATGTCGTATGAGTGGGAGCAGCAGCAGGACCATCATCATCTCCCGCTGGTTTAGTCGGGGGACTAAAGCGTTAAGAGCTAGTTAGCAAGGCCAGGTGAGAAGGGAAGCAAATGACGACGACGACTAGGACCACCGACTCCGTTGAGTGACGTGGGGCAAACAAAACAACAAAAAGAAACACACACACACAAACACTAACAACAACAAAAAACAGTAACGGTAACAGTAACAGTAACAGAAACAGAAACAGAAACGGCAGGCGAGCAACAACAAATTCAGGCGGCACAAAGACGTGACAGACATGCCAGCTCTCCCACTCCCACTCCCACCCCGTTCCTCATTACTGTTACTCCCAGCAGCAGCCACACTGTGAGAGATAAATAGTTGCCAAATCGCAAGATAAATGGAGCAAAAATGTCTCAAATATGCAAAGAGAATAAACTAAAAACAATTTGAAGAGGTTTGAAGTTCGCTTAAAAATAAATGAAATATTTAAACATGATAGAAAATGTAACTTTGGGTCGCTACATCTTCAGCTATATTTTTAGTACATGCCTTGTACATCTATCTATAAGTACTTATATTTATAATACGAGTACTCATAAAAAACAACTCATTCGGCATGCAGATTTGCAGCTCAATTTTAAGCAAAGATTATTTTATGATTTAATTTAAATCTTTGTTTGAGCACAAATAACTTAAATCGCAATCTAAAAATCTCTTTGTTGAAGCCAAAAACTTGTTTTTCCCCAGTGTATGAAA